TTTTTTTTTTTTTTTTTTTTTTTTTGTGTGTTAAACTTTTAATATTGTTTAATAATGTTTGAATGGTTTATTATTTAATCATGCAAATGTATGATTTTTTATTAGAGGGCAATTATGGAAGAACATTAGCAAAAAGTGTTGTTGTCACGTCCACAAAGGCGAACATATATTAATTAAAATATTAAAAGAATTACTAGGGGCAAAAAATGTATATTTTTCTTATTATTTTATTAAAAAATATTATAAATGTTTTAGTTTTCTTTTGTGTTTGTGATCCACAATTTTAATAAGAATTCCATTTAAAGGAATATTATGTTTCCTAATTTTTTCAATTCTCTCTAATTAATTAAAAAAAATCATTAAACTTTAATGAAAAAACCTAAACATGGAAAATACAAGTCAACAATTAAACATGAGTATTGACTTTATTAATATTTTTAATGACGTGACAATATAATTGGCCAATATATTATTATTTAAAAAATATTTATGAAATAATACAAAATAAAAAAAATAATTTTTAAAAATAGTTTCGTACATATTTTTTTAAATAATTAAAAAAAATTCTTATTATAAGCAATGGACTTATACGTTCAATTTAGAAATACAAAATAGATAGTGCCGTGAACGTCATAACATAAATTCTAGTAAGAAAATGAAAGCCGTGAAAAATACTAGTAAGTAGCTCCACTAATGGGGTTAGGTAATGCAAACACATGCATACATGATGAGACCTATCATTCTTAAAACATCTAAGCATGAACTTGATATCTTTTTAGCCCGGTCAAGGTTGAATGTGTGATACTTCCCCACACACGACTCATGGACCTATTAGGCGGGCTCGTAGCTCGATGGGCTAAATGTGCTTATGCGTCATTAGAGACTACAAAGGAACAAGGCCACATGATATCATGGCGAACATAAATATCGAAATTATGCATCTAATGGAGAAGTATCCTGATGCGCATGATACACATAAATGCATGAAGTCATCATGACTTTTAATTATAGAATATAATAAGAAACAACATGTTATATATGCATAATACTGATCATGACTTTCATCATGCATAATCATTAGTATAGTATAGATCTATAACATGGTTTCATGTAGCATGACATAGCATGACATAATAGGACATCACATAACATACATAACATAACATCATACAATTGTAGACGGTTCCATGTGCTTGTCGACGATAGACCACGACAATGTTAATTATGGCTAGGGACACAAAGTGTCCGTGAGCCAGCAAAGTTCACAAAAAGGGTTTTCATGGAGGAGTTTTGTCATTTCTCAAGGGCGTTGCACTTCTAAGCGTGGAAAAGGGTTTGGTGATTGAGGGAATGTGAGTTAGAAACCTTGCGTGATCTCCACTACTCACTCACGTTTTGAACGATACTTGATTCAATGCATCCAAGATATATCAATTATCGAAAAGACCTAAACTACCTTCCATAACAATCCATTCTTATCCTATTTCTTTCTTATTTACAATAACAAATCTCCTCTAAACATTCCATTTAAATTATTCTGTTTGTTTCTTACTTAAAAAAAAAAAAAAAGCAATAACCCTTCCATAAATGGTGAGTTTGCCAAAACTGGATCCTCCATGGATTTACAAGTTCTTTTGAAATTTATAAATGAAAGCTGTAAGTAAGCTTCGTATTTCAATATATCTTGATCGTAATTTTATTGGTTTTGTGTGTAGCTACCTAAATATGTCTAATCAAGAGCTTCCTCCGGCAAGCCAATTGATTCCTCTGGACTTCAGCTCAGTTCAAACTATTCCTGAATCTCACTTATGGCCTAACCTTGATGAATTATCGAGGAAGATCGAACCAGACAAAATGCTCTCGATCCCAGTTGTCGATCTTAACGACGATAATGTGTCGGAACTCATAGGGAAAGCCTGCGAGAATTGGGGAATGTTTCAGTTGATTAATCATGGTATCTCAAAAACCCTAATAGCTGAAACCGAGGAAGTGGCTCGATGTCTTTTCGCTCTTCCAAAAAGCCAGAAGATGAAGACATTACAGGCTCCCGGAACCCCCACCGGCTACTGCATGGCCGGAATATCGAAGTATTATGAGAAACTAATGTGGCATGAAGGATTTACCATCCTAGATTCTCCAGTTGATGGTTTTAAGAAACTCTGGCCATCAGACTACCAACGGTTCTGGTAAATCCATGCAACTTTTTTCATGCATGTACACAATTAGGGTCTAGGGTTTAAGGTTTATGTTATTACTCTGAATCCCAACAATTTTTATATTCCCTAATTGGATTCTAACATTTTTTTTTTTTTTTTTTTTGATCAAGTGATATAATGGAAGAATACCGACTCAAAATGAAGGCTTTAGCTGATAAGCTAATAAGCTTAATCTTCAAGTTTCTTGGCATCTCCGATGAAGAGATGGTGAAGCTATTGCCTTACATCGACCCAATCACCGGAAAACCCCACATGGCTTTGCGTTTGAACTCGTATCCGCCATGCCCTGATCCAAGCAAAGTCATTGGCCTCGCGGCCCACACCGACACCTCCCTCTTCACCATGCTTCACCAGGCACGCAAATATGGGCTACAGATCTTCAACGAGAAAGAAGGTTGGATTCCTCTAGCTCGGAGGAGCGACACGCTCATTATTAACATCGGTGATTTCCTCCAAATTATATCGAATGGTCGGTTTCATAGCATTCCTCACCGGGTGATGATACAAGAGACTGATGAGAGTACGATGTCGATGGCCTTTTTCTATTATCCACCGAGTCATTTAAACGTATCACCTTATTGTAAGCCATTGAGTGAAACCCCACAGACTCCCATTTATAAAGGGGTGAACGTGAAAGAATATTTCGCCATCAAGGCCAAGAACTCGGGGAACGGAATTCCTGCCATAACAATATGATCTTTCACATTCCAAGCCCTCTTGTTTGCTTCATTTTCAAATTGAAATAAGTTTGTTAAACTGTTGATGTGGGGGCAGTTTTTAATAGATGCTGTAATAGAGTATAAAACTATAACTTATATATATATATATATTGTTATAAAAACATTTAATAGCATTTTATTAAAGCTATAATATATTAAATATAGTTAAAATATTAGGTTATCTTAACTATATTAGGTTAACCAAAGTAAAATTAAATAAATTTAAGACAGAAATTATCATAATCTTGTTAGAAAGATGAATAAGATATGTTGGAAGACACGAGAACCCTCTTAGTATAAACTAATTTGATCTTGTTGCTATGATGAACAAAGTGTTCTGCCACGGTCTTCAGTACTCCTATTTCGGAGGAAAAGACCGTCTCTTTGGTGGTCTTGTGTCTTGGCTAAATGTTGTCGGGACAATCATTTAAAAAAAAATAGAAATAATACCACAACAAGACAACTAATGAAAACAAGCTCGATCATGTAACTTAGCCCAATATCACAACATTTCAATGAGAGATAGTGCACTTACACTTACAGTTGTACTATAGGTTATAGGTTAAATCGATAAGCAAAATTCTTACTTTGTCAAATAATATGGCACAGTACATTCCTCCAAGCTCTTGGCTACATCAACTAAAATAGATGATAATCAGACCCGCATGATATCATGACAGACATAAATATCAAAGTTACACGTCCAATTTAATATAACATAACAGGGAAGTATCCTGATATACATGACACTCATAAATGCATGAGATCCTCGTGACTTTTAACCTCAGCATTTAATAAGAAACAATTCGTTCTTCCAGTTATTCATGTCATAATAAACATACAAGTTGTATAATGTTGGATCAGTAATGGCAACCGTAGAGGGATGAATAGAGTTTTAACCCTAAATAAAAATATTTAAAGTGATTAATTTTTCTATTAAATAGTTGAAGAAATAACCATAAACCATTATAAAAAAAAAAAAAAAAAAACTTAGAAATGCAATAAATCTTAAAAAGAATTTTGAAATTAAATACGGAAGAGTTAGAGTTAGAAAATATAACACCGTGGCTTTATAGTATTTGAGTCAAACTCGACCTACTCCACCTCCTCAAGTGCCTCTTGTGAATTTGAATAAATTTTTCTCGACTCTTTCTTCGAATCAGTGCCCAACCACTACACTGCTCTTTCCACGAATTCAAGAGCAAACTCAATCATTTTCACGACTCAGGATCAAATCGGTACAAACACTACAAGAAATAATAGATACGATAGCTTACGAAAAACGCAATTGTAAACTTTTTATAGATTTCTCATACGTTTTGGCGACCTATGTTATTAAAAGTCTGAGATTTTTTATAGTGTTTTTTTACGTCCATAATGGATGCTATAATAAATTATGAAACTATAGCTTATATATGTTATGAAAATATTTTATAGCACTTTTTTTTTTTTAAATATTATTCTATTTTTAACTTATAATAGCATTTATTTAACGTTATTATATAATATTTATAGCTTTAATATTATGTTATAATAATATTATTTAATCTTTTATGTTTTTATTTATGACTTTAAATGGTTCAACAATGTATTTACCCACCTCAATTAGATACATAAGATTAGGAAACACTGAGGAAACATATTATTAAAATCTACCCCGTACCCAACTCTGTTCTTCCAACTATTTTAACTCATTGAGCAGTGCAATATCTCCTTAGAGCAAGATACCTTAAACCAAGGCCTACATTTCCTTAATCAAGAGGAGCAAGATATCTTAAACTATTAAGTCCTTATCATGAAATGCTGCAATTTTTTCAAACCCTCTTTCGATTTTCCTTGCTGGCCCCAACCCATCGAGGGAAAGCTCGATAACTCTGCCATTGATGAGGTTGCATTTAACGAACTCCCAGGAACAAGGAGAATCATCGTCTTCATTCCAGGACGCAAGAAAGGAAGAAGGGTCGTGGAGGACAGACTTGAACAGATCAACTTCAATTGACAAAGAAAGAGGAAGGAGAGAAGATTGCCACTGAAGCAGTAAGCCTAACCCTAACCTAAGGGAAGAAGATTTCACTTTCCTTCAAATTTATTTTCGGTATTTTTTTCTGTATTATTATTTTTTTTTTCTGTTTCCTATGTGTTTGTCGACTGTAGACCAGGACCATGCTAATTATGGCTAGGGACGCAAAGTTACCGTGCGCCAGCAAAGTTCACGAAAAGGGTTTTCATTTGGGAGTTATGTCCTCTCTCAAGGGTGTTGCACTACTAAGCGTGGAAAAGGGTTTGGTGATTGAGGGAACATGTGAATTAGATACCTTGCGTGATCTTCACTGCTCGTCGGAAATCTCACATTTTGAACGATGCCTGATTCAATGCATCCAAGGCATATCAATTATAAAAAAGACCTAAACTACCTTCCATAACAATCCATTCTTACCTTATTTCTTTCTTTTTTTTGCAAAAACATTAATCTCCCCTAGACATTCAATTTAAATTACTCTCTTTGTTTCTTACTTAAAAACAGCAACAATCCTTCCATAAATGGTGAGCTTGATTTACTACTTCTTTTTAAGTTTATAAATTAAACATTAAAAAAAGCAACCATCCTTCCATAAATGGTGAACTTGATTTACTACTTCTTTTTAAGTTTATAAATTGAAGCAGGAAGTAAGCTTAGTATTTCAACATACCTTGATCTTAATCTCATTGGCTTTTTGTGTGCAGCTACCTAAATATGGATAAGCTTCCTGCCGTAGGCCTTTTGACTCCTCTGGACCTCAGCACAGTTGAGGCTGTTCCTGAATCTCACGTATGGCCTCACCTCGATGAATCATCGCAGAAGTTCGAATCGGACAAAACGGTCTCGATCCCGGTTGTCGATTTTAACGACGACAATGTGTTGGAGCTCATAGGGAAAGCCTGCGAGGAGTGGGGAATGTTTCAGTTGATTAATCATGGTATCCCGAAAACCCTAACAGCAGAAACCGAGGAGGTGGCTCGATGTCTTTTCGCTCTTCCAAAAAGCCAGAAGATGAAGACATTAAATGTTCCCGGAACCGCCAACGGCTACTGCATGGCCAGATTAACGAAGCATCATGACAAAATGATGTGGCATGAAGGATTCACCGTCATAGGTTCTCCGGTTGATGATTTTAAGAAACTCTGGCCATCGGACTACCAACCGTTCTGGTAAATCCATGCAACTTTTTTCATGCATGTACACAATTAGGGTTTAGGGTTTATGTTTAAGTGATTATTACTCTAAATCTTGGCTGATTGGATTCTTACTTTCTTTTCATTTTTTTTTTAATCAAGTGATAAAGTGGAAGAATACCAACTTAAAATGAAGGCTTTAGCTGATAAGCTAATAAGCTTAATCTTCAAGTATCTTGGCGTCTCCGATGAAGAGATGGTGAAGAAGTTGTCTTACATCGACCCGGCCACCGGAAAACCCCACTTGGCTTTGCGCTTGAACTCGTTTCCTCCATGCCCTGAACCAAGCAAAGTCATGGGCCTCGCGGCCCACACTGACACCTCCCTCTTCACCATGCTTCACCAGGCACGCAGAGAGGGGCTACAGATCTTAAACGAGAAAGAAGGCTGGCTTCCGCTGGCTCCGAGGAGAGACGCTCTCATCATTAACATCGGCGACTTCCTCCAAATTATATCGAACGGGCGGTTTCATAGCGTTCCTCACCGGGTGATGATACGAGAGACTGAGAAGACTACGATGTCGATGGCATATTTCTTTCATCCACCAGGTCATTTATACGTAGCACCTTATTGTAAGCCATTGAGTGAAACCCTACAGACTCCCATTTATAAAGGAGTGAACGTGAAAGAATATTTCATCATCAAGGCTAAAGCCTCGGGGAAGGGAATTGCTGCCCTAACAACATGATGTTTCATATTGAAAACCTCTTGTTTGCTTCATTTTCAGAAGGGTTTCCAAAAAATAAGCTCGTTAAACTGTTCATGTGGGGCAGCTTTTAAATGGTTTAGTTTGATGATCATACACAGCCATGCAATAAATATGGAAACTTGCATGTAATATTCTCGTGTGTTTTAAATTTTTTTAAAATTTTCTGTCAGTTCCATGCATGTTCAAATCCCTTCTCTCTAACAGCCACCCAAACATTCAATTCTAACCAAGTTATATCATCTCCCTTTTTGAAAATGATTTTTTTTTTTTAATTTTTGGAATCTATACATAGAGTAGATAAGAGGTACATAAATGAACCAACACCATATTTGAATGTGAGCGATCCTAAAGATATAAGGACTAAGAAATGTTTAAAAGAATTTAAACTTACTACTTAAGGCAACAAGGAAATCGGCCCAAGGAAAAGCTCTGATATCACATGATAAGGAATCAACCCAAGGGAAAGCTCTAATGCCAAATGATAAGGAAATTGGCCCAAGGGAAAGCTCTCATATCACATGATAAAGAATCACTACAAGTGAAGTAAGATTCAGATTACCTTGTTGATCGAATATTTCAAGGCAAGAACACTTGTTTGAGATTCGAATAACTTCACAAGCAAAATTGATCATGTCAAGCTTGAATGATTCTACATCCAACCTAAACTACATATAATTGCAAAGAAACGTAGCCACGAAAAGCACAAATGCTCATTTTCCTACATTTTTCCAAGTCTATCTTACAAAGTTAACATATGGCTTAAGCCTCAAAAGTTGTAACATTTATACTTTATGACTATAATTAGCCACGATATAAATGTAACTTTAAAGTAAATACAAAGTCTTAAAATACATTAATGAAATACAATAACTCTAAATTACTCTAAATTGTAATCCACCAAAAATTTATAACAATGAAGTTTCATCGTTCTTCAATGTGGCATGAATTGAAATGTCTTTTGATAATTTCAACAACATTTTCTTCACATCTTCATTGATGTATGTTGTATGATTAATATCTCTTGGTTATATCAGCTTTACTTGAAGCAATTGTATGATGGGTGGCCTTTTGGAAATTTTTCTAAGATGTATGTCGTATATGAATTCCAAATCCCTATCCGAATCCTGGGCATGGGTCGTA